CAGCCGTTGAATGTACTGTTACAGCAACCGTGTGATTATTTTAAGAATAAATGATGCGGCGAAGCATGAAAATGCCGTCGGGTCTGCCGCAAACCAGTAAACAAATTAAAACAAATACTGTTGATAAACTATAACACACAAATTACAATTAAAATTCTCAACAACAAAAACAAGATATATAATTAATATGTAAACAACTTAATAACCCCCAAAGTGTCCAAGTCACGTGACGGGTCAGCGCAACACCGAAACATAAGAGGGGGGAGCAAAGTGTTCCTGCACACAGGAGCGGCGAGTCCAGCCTGGCTGTTTCGTTTTTGCTGAAAGCACAGCAAACAAGCAGAACTCAAAGTAAAGAATCGATCTAACCAGGCTAGTATCGATCCGATCCCGACTTGGGATCGATACTATCGATATTTGGATCGATCCGCCCACCACTAGTCGTCAGACCTGCTCTGAGCTGTGTGTGATAGCAGCTTGTTTCTTTGTTGATCTCATTAAGCGTCCCTCATCTTTACAGGACTCGTTAAGCTCGTTATGCGCAGCAGCTCGTTAAGAGATCAAACTCTTTGTTGTTGTTGTTTGTTTGGACGAGTTCGTCCCCAGATTAGCATCAGAGAGGCTAACGAGAGCAGCTAATTACCCTGAGAGTGTGATGGACGCCTGGACTCATGAATATGGATGTGCGTGCTTCTCCAGGTGCTAATGTGCTAATGAGGCCTAGCAGCTCCGCCCACCCGCAGCTCTGACAGGAAATGGTTGTGTGGACATCAAAGAGGAACTTTGTGTTTAATTGAACTTTTTTATGACCTGATTTATTCTGAGAACATCAGACTTTATTTCAAGTTTATCTCAAACTTTGATTCAGCTTTAATTTAACGATCAATCAGCTGCTCGTTAAGCCCTCGCCCTCTGAGCTGCCGTCTGATCGGCCAATCAGGACGAGCGTGTTCCTTTAACTGCTTCAGGAGGTTTACTGTAAACAGACGAGTCTCAAAGGACCCACACAGGAAACACGTTTGCAGCTCAGGCTCTGAGTCACAGTGATTCACACAGTGCAGGCCCTCTATGTGCAGGTGTGTGTGTGTGTGTGTGTGTGTGTGTGTGTGTGTGTGTGTGTGTGTGTGTGTGTGTGTGTGTGTCAGCGAGCTGACCCACTGTCCTCATTTATTTCACTTTGTCACTATGGGAACAAGGTGTGTGTCTGTTAGTGAGTGGAAATGGGTCAAATCACAGCAGGTTAATGTCATGACACAATTCATGCCACCATCACACACACACAATTTTACAGTGTTTATTTGTTTAAAATGATCTATTTAAAGTAAGTTAAATGTGACCGTGATTACTGTCTCCCAGCCGGGGCTGTCCAAACGGGCTGCACCCACCTTCATGGTCTAAGTGGGCCGGGTCCTCTGAAAGCCGGGTAGGCTGGAAGTGAGCGACTGTGACGGTCTAGCCCTCAGAGCTACGTCACCACTCTCTCGGTGGAGTGAAACTCTGCCGTCTGCTCCCTGCTATCTAAATATAACCGGACGCGTAAACTCTTGACCAAATCACTTCTGTTTAATCAGTTTTCTGTTTGACGTTTATTCAGCTGTGTGAAAACCACATTAATAAAGTTTAATCTAATCTAATAACTTTAATCTCAGCCAAACGATTTACTCACGAACAAACAAAACACTGGAAAAAGCCAAACAATAACATTATATATCATGTTTAACCTGAGTATCCAAAGATCGCGGGGGTTTGAAAACGATGTGCCGGGAGTCTGCAGTTCTCACCGGCTCAGGTATTTGAAGTTCACACAGTTACATTCTCGCCTGAAAATATGTTAAAAGTTTATTTTCGACCCAGAAGGAGTAATAAGAGTAATATTAAAGCCAAGTAGCTGCAGTAGTAGTAGCCATTGTTGGGAACTGGAATCAGTGTTGCCAACACCTCAGTAAGGAAAATCGCTATTGGTCATCCTAAACATGCTAGAACTGGCTAAATCATTGCCTAATTTGCATAATTGGTCATGCTTATGTAATCGTAACCTACATGTAGGAGAGAGAAATAAAGTTGAGTAAAAACGTCCTAAATGCATTTAGAGTTTATTTAGAACTACAAATTAAATTTCTTTTAGCAATTATTGTTTTTTTTAATGTCACAATTCCAACCCTGCTCCTTTACCCGGGCTTGGACCGGCAAAAGTGACCCGAGATAGGCGCTCTGGTGGAGTTTCTGTGTGTGTTTATAAGTAGTTTTAAACATTGTGATCCACAAAACAGCATAAGAGTAAAAGAAGAACTGACTGCGTTACAGTCAGTGCGGAGCAGCGGCTTCGCTCATGTGCGATTCATTTGCAGTTCGGACGCACAGGTGTGAACGTCTCCTGCCCTGATAGCACCTGGCGGAGGTCTATCCTCCGCCTGTGAGCGCTTTAGCACGGGTGAGGTGCCCACGGCAGCACCGCTGCTTGTTGAGAGTTAGAGCAACACGCCCTTTCACGTCAAAAAGTCGTCATAAATAAGTCTCCAGTAACACCAGAAAAAGCCGCCAGATTTATCGCTAGTTGCTTTTTAGAAAAAAAGTCGCTAAGGGGTCTGAAAACTTGCTAAATATAGCGACAAAGTCGCTAAGTTGGCAACACTGACTGGAATTGGCTGGGCTGCGCTATGAATTCTGGGATATGGTTTTTCATTTTTGTTGTCTGGGTGGACAATCAGGGGAAATTTGGGTGAATGGTGGCTCCGGGAGAATTTCAGGAGGGGCACTGAAGTTTGGGATTCTCCCAGAGAGATCGGGAGGGGTGGCTCGTATGTTTACATCATGCTCTCTCAGGTCTCTGATCCTGAAGCTCAGCTGAAGCTCAGCACTCTCACAGACGACTGTCCTCAGAGTGATGATGAAGATCTGTCTCCAGATCGCTGGTTCTCTTCCACAGCATGTGTGTAGCGCACGATCTGATATCGTCATGTTGGTGTTGTTCCCAGATCAACATAGTAAATGTTGTTCCAGGATCAACACCAACACGGCGATGTCAGATCATCTCTTTAGCTGTGTCCGAATTCAGGGGAAGGATCCTCCCCAGGACGTGTTTGGAGGCAATGATGTCACAGTGAAGTGACGAAGGCTGTCCGAATTCAAAGAGCGCTCAAAATGTGGCGACAAATGCGTCCTACTTTTCCCCAAATTTGAAGGATGGGTCCGATGTGTCCTTCGTGTCCTACCAGGATTCATTGCGGGCCGTACAGGAGACTTTCTGATAACGATGGTGGTCGGAGCCGGAGAGGAAAACACTTTGAACATCTGGTGGTACAAAAGTTAAATTGTTATAGCGGC